ATATATAGGTTTTTGATACATTGTTTGTTTTTTGTTTTTATTTTTTAAACTTGCCTTCAGGAATGGTTATCAGCTCACAGATAGAGGAAGAAAAGAAAGTCCCAAATATGTGGGACAACTCAGAGCCCTTCAGACTGGTGAGAATGCTTCTGTGTAATTCAGTGAAACTCATTCTGTTTTCCCTGACCTCATCTCCCTCAGTCATTGGGCAGATTTAAGAAGTGATAACAGCTGTACAGAAAAAATATAAACATTTTTGTGTGCAGTCTGAGTACAGAACGTGACATACTGGATCAAAGATACAGTTTATCAAGCATGCCCTTGAGATAGCCCCAGGACATGAATCCAAGAAAGGAAAACCCTAGAGTAGATAAAGGCGGGACTACAGTATAATCTGCTTCAATGAAGAGTGAATTCTAAATCTCAGGAGTCAGCATATCCTTTAAAACCTGAAACATGAGTTTTGATATCTATCTCTTCGTTCTTTTTCTTTTTTTTTCTTTTTTTTTTGGGGGGGGGTGTGTGTGTAATGTTTTCTCCATTTAAGACATTTACCTTGTTCCTACTGGAATGAACAAACATTATAAATGTTCACAAAGTGAAGAACAGGTTTATATATATATACAGTGCAATAGGGATTTCTGTAAAGAAAGGTATCACTGTTACAGTAGCATGCTATGGCAACCATTTTGGTTTTATTGCACACAGTATTAAAATCTCAGTTCTTCAAAAATGTTGGCATTTTTTCTGGATATAACGTGTTGCTAAATTTTTTCTGTCACTTTTCAAGGACTATTTAATTCCTGGTAATTTTTTTTATTGACACCTATGAGGCGTACACACATGTAATGCTTAATGAGTTAGAAATGATATGAAGACTAGCCATCCTGATGAAGTTATTTGGTGGGATAAACAATTCTAGGATTCATAGTATAGAATAGTGAATAGGAGATCAGTTACATACACTGCCCAGAAGAAGCCAGACTGTTCATCTCCCACAGTCAGATCTAAATATATTAACAATCTCCTGCCTGGTACAGCGCAGAAATTAATCTCCAGTACTGGCAAGGTCTGATTTGCAAAACTGCTGTGCATGCACTCCAGAGAGATTCAGACTGGGAGAAAAAGCAGGCTGGATAGTATGCTTTAGGGACCTTTCCGTCACAGTGTGGCCAGTCTCAGCCTCAAAACACTTGCCATTATGAAAAAGTGTCACTGCTGAGCAGGACCAGACAGAACAGATGTTCTGCAATTTTTTGTGGGAACATCCTCCTAGAAAGAGACTTTGTGAAACAGAGGGTCATCTTATTTACCTGTGTGAACTACCTGTTCTGCACTGGGAGTTGGTGATTAAAGTCTTTCTGTTTGGGACTATTGGCTGTGAAAACCACAATCCACTTGTTTAGCTTCTCAGGAGGTCTATTTGATATTTAGAGTAAAATATTTCCATAGCTTATCCTCCCCATTTTTTTTTTTTTTTGTTTTACATCTCCCTTCACTAAAATATATCTGCCTATGGCTATAACTACCCGGACATATTATATTATATAATACAGACACATACATAATTTTATCACAAAATTGATAATTTTAGTCCTATCTAAGGAGCAGCATAGTAATGTTTTATCAGATGTCTTAAATCTAAGTCAGCCTCTGAGCCAGCACTGATCTTATGGCTGCTTTTAGATGACACGTCACAGTTCTGCATAAGGTCAAGCCCAGACACATGTATTCTAATGTTATTAATGTTTTAGTGATATCACAGACGACCTAGACTTCAGCCTTCAGAAACAAAAAGGAGGTGCTGTATAGCAGTATTTCTGTACAGTGAGTGTAAACACTTCATTACAAGCACAATAGCAATTAATGAGATTACTCCAAACATTCTTACAAGCAGTCATAAAGCTTTTGTCATTTTTTTTTCCTTACCAAGTTGCTCTGCTAAATGTTTTCCTCTCTCAGTGAAGATTACCCGCTCATCCTCCATGTCACATTTGTTACCCACCAAAATAACCTGGGCATTATCCCAAGAGTATGTTTTGATTTGAGTGGACCTGAAAAGAAAGACAAGAGAGAAAAAGATAAGTCAAAGCAAAGCAAATTACCCTTAAATCAATTTCATAGAGAATTGTAACCAGGAAAACAAACAAAATACTGATTTTGACATCTAAGGTAACATGATTCTGTTCAATTCTGAATCTCAAATAAACGAAGGATTATCTTTCAGGAATTATAGCTTTAACTTTTGATGTTAAAACAAGTCAGTCTTTCAGTATTTTCTCCTGTCATCAACATTCTTCCTATATTTTTAGAAAGAAGCTGTGTCACTTCATCCCACGCAATTAAAAGAAGTATTTTCGCATTTTAATGCAAACCTTATCATCTAAAAGCAGAGCCTTGAAACAAAATCAGCAGCTTATTCATATCTTATCTTTCAGTTTTTAAAATTAAGATCTAAATTTATCAGCAAAACTTCAAGGACCTTATATCTTCCTTCTGCTGTTTCTCTCCAGCATGTCCCACAGCAGCTCTTTGATTTTCCAGCAGGACAGCAGCATTTCTGTTGTACATTAATCCATAATCAGGGGCTGAGATTGAAGTTTAACTTACTTTCCATTAAATTATCCAAGCTCCAATCTTGACTACAGCTGAACAGAGGTATCCCAGGCATTGAAACCCTATGATGACCTTAAGTGCTGGAGGTGAAACAGCACATCCTATGAAGCTCTCTTCTACAATATGAATGGGATGCAGCTAAAGGGCAGCATAGGAGCATGCTTGTAGCACGTCTCAGCTGCTCTGCTGATACACAGACCTGCTCTGTAGGAAAGAAAGATTCATTCCAAGACTCCAGGCTCAGTTGGGAGTGATGCTCCTGGCATCACATAATACTTGCCCCTGAACACAGCACAGGGAGCAATAAGATTGCTCTAAGTGCTTACACTTTGTCTTGGAGTTGGCTACACCTGGCTTTACATTCTGTCTCAAGTTCTTGGTAGGGTGTTAATATTCTTCTCCCCCTGTAGGATCAAAGGAGAAAGAAATGAAGAGCATCTCTATCTCCTTGGACAATACAATGTGCTTAGGAAAACTGCATAAAAAATCTGCCATCTAAACATTTTGGAAGATGGAATTTGTACATGCTGGTTTGCTAGAGTCCCCTTCTCATAATGCAACTTTTTCCTCTGTAAAGCGAGACCCTGTCATGGCAGAATGATTCATACACAAGAAAGGACCACAATTTGGTCCAACACTCACTTACAGTTAAAGAGAGATATAGATCATATCTTCCCATCTGTCTGTGCTTATCACGAGTCAAAAGGCATGGACGTAGGCAAAAGTTGCCTCAGGCTGTCTTTGTACTGATGCCCAACATCGATGGCCTGCTGGCATGAATTGAAGCAGCTTGCTGCAACTGCCTCCAGCCATGTGCGATGGGCCTGTTGTGCAGGGAACAGCAGCTTGAAATGGAAGGGTCACACTGACTTCAGTGTTGTTCTACTTCACCAGAATGACCAGAAAAGGATGAAGCAAACCCTGCTTCATGGTGGATTTCTTTTTGCTGCACATTGTTCCCTTGGGTATGCCCAGAGCTTTCATTAAAAAAAAATGCACAACATGGTATTTTAACTCTGTTAAAAAATTGTAATAATTTGAGTAAGACATCTTAAGCTTCTGTGACAAAACAGAGGTCAGACTTCCATTTACACTTTTGCTATGGATAGAATTGCTCAGAAGAAAGGGCACCATGCGTTCATTTTGATAAAAATGCACTTATGAAACCATGCTGAGCTCTTCAGAAATTTGTGGTTAAGGAAAAGAGGATTTTTATTATATTTTAACTAGAATTACATTTGTCACCATAGCAACTTTGCAGGAAATTGAAGTTGTTTCAAAAGCGAAATATACAGTAAAAGTATTGAATTTCACAGAAAGAATCAATTGCATATTATGTAATATTTTCATATTTTCTCTCTCTCTTCTTCTGAGAAGGGAGAGTGAGAGAGCAGCTTAGTGGCCATCACTGAGAAAACCACCACATCTGCAAATGTGAAATATCATAAACTGATGAATGAAGAATTATGTCCTGGAGAATATTTTCACATGAATGCAAAGAGAATTAATTTAACCTTGTTTAGCAGACTTCCATTCTACTTAACCTTCTCCAGAATATAAAACACCTCATTTTACTAAAGCCAGCTGTGATTTTTCATTCTGTGAATTATGGACCTGTGCATTCAAATGCTTCTCATTACCAAGGCCATTTATTTTATTCTCAGACATATCTATCTGGTTTTCTAACATCTCATCTAGTTGCGGGGTTTTTTTTAAGCAACAGGAAAAGAGATCTTATCTTTGATAATGATTCCAAGGGCTCATGTTGTGCAAAGGACTCCGTAGTGCAAAGATACATCTGACTGCGAAAATCAGACAAATATATCCCCACTCAATCCCACATCAGCAGGAGCATGGATTCAAAGAGTATAATAGGCTTATCACTGTTACGTTTTCTTTTCGACATACATTCCCACTAATGGCTTCTGTGGATTTTTTTTGCCCACAATTCTCCACAAAAGCCAACACAGAGGTCATTTACAAAAGAGGCTCTGCTGTTCCTTACGTATATATCCTTTCAAATGACTGAGGCTTCTGATTAATCCAAAACACAAAACATTGTCCTTGTAAAGAACTCTAGCCTCAGGAAGATTTAAGATATGAAAAGGCAAAGCTGATGTTTGCAGCTAGCTGAATACAAAAATTCTTGCTCAGTCTCACTGCCCTGGTGCATGTCAACAGTAATTTACCCTGTAAATCTTTCGCATTCTAGTTGTATGGTATGCAGACAATCTGCAACATACCTGAATTTTTATAAAATATAGACACCAGAGGGACAGATTAATGCAAGAATTCAATGATCCATTTTTCAGTGATCAACATAAGACTTTTTCTCCTTGTACTATTCTGCCATAATCCTTATCAAAATAAGTACTTGCTGAATGCTAAGTAAAGCAAAGCTTTGTTTTCATCCTAAAACAGCACTGTATTTTGCTTTAATTGTTCAAAATAATGTAAAGTTACATCAATAAATCTCAAAAGGTATCTTGGACTACCATGACAGAAGATTACCAAAGATAAGATGGACGCTTTTTGCTTTGTTTGATGGACTGAAATCCTGTCTGAAGAAAATGCTCAAAAGACAGTTTTTCAATCACACTTTGTTTAAAACAAAGCCTGAAGAAAAGGAAGTGTCAAACAGTGCTCACTGCTTATATGAAAATCCTATTTCTGCTCCTAGGAAATGCCTTGTAATTCTCACTAGTTCAGAAAGAAAAAAAGATATTTTTCTTCCAGAAATATTCTCAATATTGCTTATTCAATGAATAGTGTTCAACAGGATTTTGTATTGCTGCCACTTCTGTCATTTACTGGAGAGAATAAAAGCAGTGTTGCCTAGGCAAAGCCATTTATCTACCGTTACCTCATTTTTAATGAGCATACAGGTTTCAAAGTATTACAATTCTTAAAATGGTGACACAATTATAAAGACTCAAGACACTATTGTCATGCACAACCTCCTCCAAGTCTGGCAAAAAAACCCATCCTGACTGTCATTTATAGCTATTACCAAGCATAGTGAAGCAGTCTGTAAAAGATCTAAATTGCAGCATGCTGTATGACAGGTATGAGCTCAAAGGCACATGCCTATTCTCAGGTTAGACTCTGCTTGAGCTCTGCAAAATAATCAGTTCAATGAAGAACTCAGTCCTAGTAGGGATACTGAAAACAACAACAAAAGAACAAACGTTTCAGAAAAATAAAGGAGGAGACTAACCTTTGAGAATCTTGGACCTCTGAAAATGCAAGAACTTCAAATGATTGTCCGGGCACCTGTGGTGTGTGTGTGTGTGTGCAGGGAGCATGCTGAGTGTATTTACACAGCGTGATGGAGTGTGGTTCACAAACACCCCAGTCAGATGTGTGGCTGCAGTGCTGCAAGGCAAGGTCACTAGCACAGAGCATCACCACTGTGAAGTTACTGTTGTACAGGCTCATTTGTTAGTGTTAAGTTACGTGATAAAAACTCATCTACATATTCACGAAGTAGCACAAGGAAGCAATGGAAGACTGAAGAGCCCAAAGAATATCCTGGCCCTGGCTACTCACAGGCATATCCCAGGAGCCATTGGCCCGTCAGACATGTACCTACACAAACACAGAGGAGCACAGACAGGCAGGAACCCAAACTAAGGACTCAGAAGAAGAGAAACTAGCTCCTGCCTCTCTCAGAAGTACCTCAGCCCTACTATCCTGGTCTGAAACTAATCCCTATGGGCCGATGCTTTTGGACTCAGTAGGAATGCTGGACATATGATAGGATGTGGAGGAAGAGGTGCAGAGAATGCACTGGTGAAGTTCGAGCAAGGCCAACTGGCAAATAGGTTAGGTAGTCTGGGAGCAAGGATTATCTCTAAGGGGAATTTCACTGTGGATAGCCAGAAAAGTCCTGGCCATCTATGTGCCTGTCTCTGTAGAAATGGTTTGTACCTGCTAAAATGGGGCTGGGGCATCACAGGTTCCTCCAGGTGCCAGCAGCTGGGAAGAGCATGCCCAGGAGTAGCTGTCAGGCAGTTTGTGACTGTTCTGAGCTGACAGGGATCCACATCACGCACATGCATATATATACGTATACATTTACATATACATATACATATACATATACATATACATATACATATACATATACATATACATATACATATACATATCGTTGCTAGTGAACCTCCATCCTGCTCTGCCATGAGAGTGTTCTGTGTGTTGTCTATGACCTGCGTTACCAGCCATGTACGAAGGCTGCTCTGAAATTTGATGAAGATGGCCCTTGACATCAGACACAGTTGGTGATACAGCAATAGCAGGTGAACCTTCCTGCTAATATTCCAGTACATTTTGTTGCTGTGTGACAGATGGCAGCAGAGGGACAGTCTGATGGAACGGTGCTGAACATGGAGGTGTTCATGAAGCAAAGGTGTGTCACTGAATTCCTCCATGCAGAAAAAACAGCACCCACTGACATTTTGATGCTTGCTTTATGTTTCTGGAGACCAAACAGTGGATGCGAGCACAATGAGGTGGTGGGCGGTGTGTTTCAGCAGTGGTGACAGTGGGTCACCTCCATCAGTGCAGATTTTTATGAACACAGCATGCAGGTTCTTATTCACACTGGTAAAAAAATGTAGCTAACAGTGGTGACTATGTTGAAAAACTGTTTTGTGCTGAGAATTTGTTCTATTAAATAGTGTTATTCTCACTGTATCTGTTGTGCTTTCCAAAGAAATAAGTAGGAAGCATTACTTTTGAAGCAACTTACACACACATATGTATGTATGTATACGTAAATACAAAGTTATACATGTTACATGTATGTTAAATATTTATTTTTATATGCTGTTATATTAGGTATTAGGTTAGGAAAGCTAAAACCCAGATAGAATTTAGTCTAGCCAGAAACATAAAGAAGAACAA